TTTCGCACCCTTACCTGCAGGCTTTCGTCGTTTGCTATGGCGCTACTGTCCGAACACCACCAACCAATATGCCTCTGGATTTGTAAGTGCAATCAGTTGAATGGGTTGTGCTACAAGAAAGGTTTTTTCCACGGCATGAAGCATAGCAACCACTGATCCACTTTGACATGGATACAACCGACGCTGGAGCATAGCTATGCTCGGGACCTGCATCGTGACCATGTTTTTGCCACACCGTGCAGTGGCCGCTGGTCACTGGTAATTGAGAAGTGAAGCTCATTTGTAGGCTTTTCGTAAACTTTGCTAGAGCACAAACCCACGCTGCCATGCTCTTCGTTCGAGAATTCAGGCCCATTGATAGTTAGTAGTTTTCGTTTCACTTGTTTCACCTTAGCACAGAGGAAAGACTACAAGATGGTGGAGACTCGGCCTGTGGGCTGTGGTTTGCGGTTGTTTTGGTTGGTTTGGTTTGTTGTTGTGTTGTCTTTGTCCTTTTCTCCACCATCTGATTGTTTTTCCTTTCCTTCAATGATGACCTGGGCACCATGCCCACACGGCGTCCGTACTCGTGGAAAAAGAGCAAGTCCGTTTTCATGCGCGCAACCAGCTTATGCACAAACTGGACAGAGGTTAGTTCTTGGCGCTCATCTTGGTTTGCACAGATGAAAGTTTTTCGGTGTGTCCAGTGTCCGTGGATGGCACAGGAACACGACAGGTGATCAAAGCACACGCTTTCAGGGTTCGAGACCAATCACCATGACGGTGGATAAGAGGGGTTTGGGCAATGGCTGCCTCTGCCAGAGGTATGGAAGAGACCGCGTGAGTTGCTGGAAGGGGTTTGGCCGTCAGGAAAGCGCATGGAACTTGGAAACAGCTGTGGGCAAAAATTCTGACCAGGCCGGCCTTCTGCCATTGCTTCCAAAATCTTTCGATACCCATTGGCCCATGTCAAGTGAGAAAAGTGTGCATGTGGAGGATGACCATTTCGGTGCTGAGGTCAACGAGGGTGAGCAGTTTGCAATTTTCATGCGCCCTATCGCCAAGGAAAGTTGCATCTCCTCCCATGGCCAACCTGCACCCCTTCAGTTGTGACCCCAACTTTCTCGAGAGCATAGCACTCCGAGAAGAGTCGAACACCCAAATCTGCGCATCTAGGCATTTCGACCATAAACCAGGGCATAACATCCCTGGAAAGCGGCATGTTCGATGGCCAGTACAGTGTTAGAAAGTTTGACAATTTGGAGTGAGGCCTGCGACGCATAGACGCCTGGCCGTCCTGCGGGATGCGGGCGGAAGACCTGAAAGTGCGGCGGAGGCCGCGGCACTTGTGGGCACTCTGGCTGAGGGGTGAGCCACAAGGCAGCTAGGCTTGTCGGTCGATCATGTGAAATCCCCAGTCCACTTTGGCATGCTCGAGTCGCACAACTGAGAAAGGCTTTAGCCACAAGTGCCCTCGTGTCATTCCGGGGACCCTGATGGCTTTGGAGTGGTGATCATACTCCTCCGCCTGGAATTGCTCTTTGCAGTCAAACAGCTGCAAGCAGTCTTGGACCACAAGGCGGAATTGCGTGTTTCGCCATGGAGTCACACGGCACACACAGCGCCTCCACCCGTGAAAAAAAATTTAGTCACACAATGCCAGTTGCGTCTCTACGTCAAAGAAGGTGAGTTCGCACCCAAAGGTATCCAGAGTACTCACAGCAGGCAAGTTTTTCCATCAAGTGTGCTTCAAGCATGTCCCACGTATGGTGGATGCTCACTGGAACTTCAATCCGAATGGCGGCACCTGCCATGGAGCTGAAGGCAGTGCGAGCTGTTACCCTCAAATTCGTGATCATCCCTGCATGTCAGGGACATGCCTTTTTGTGGTTGCAGGAGCCAGAGGGACAGCAAAGCTGCTACCTCCATCTAAACGCTCATTCTACCATGGTTTTGAGCCGCACAATCACGCCTTCGACCCTCTGAAATGGTTGGTGCTTGGGTCTCAGCGAAAGCCAAGTGGCCTGACCCCCTTGATGCCCACACACCACAGCCAGGACAACATCTAGGGATGTTGCCTGAGAGGAAAACTCTCGACTGGGGCCATCACAGGTCTGTGCAAACTGGCACGACAGTCAGGGGTCATGGACTCATTCTGGCGACGCCGGTGACATGGTCCAAGCCTCCTGGTGCCGGTTTTGGTTGTGCCAGCTGATTAATGAGAAAGAAACGAAGCCCTTGCATTGCCACTTGGGAGAAGACAATTGCAAGAGCCATCTATCAAGGCTGCTACCAAGCGAATGATGACTTCGAAGAAGAGCGAGAACTGGAACCACACTACGATCAATCAGGAAAACCCAGTGAGGGCAGCCCCTGAGTCAGAGCAAAATGAAGGGTGTGAGGTACCTGTTGGAAGTGTCTGCTGAGCAATTCATAAAACGAAAAAAGAAACCAGGTGAGACAAGGACTGGTGCTGGGTGTCAGCCTGAGCTTCCAAGGTCCTTGCGCAGCTCCTCGCAAAAAACTTCAGCCCAATCCGCCCTCCACTGCCAACACTCTGGTGTCGAACTAATGGCATTTGTCAAACCACTGCTCTCAGCGCATGGTCCTCTCCATGTCGTTCCAGCTTTTGTTTTGTGAGTTGCGTGCATGCACTTCACGCAACAAAGTACACTTCAGAAAGGCTTTGCCGCACCTCAACTTTTGTCGCTGCTTTCTTCATGGAGGGATCGACGCCGAGATATGCCCTAAGCCCTAAGGATCCAGTCGCACGGAACGTCAGGAGGTACGACTGGGCCCTCCTGGCACCAACATAAATAGTCTCCTTCCTCACCGTACCTGAGGTTCGGTACGACTGGATCGCGGAAGGATTCCGCACCCGAAACCAATGCAAGGGCTTTGGTTTACAGCCCCACCCTGGCCCCAACGCGGGTCTCCCACGGGAGGCGAGCTTAGGAAGAGTGGCCTTGGAAACGCAGCGTGCACGATGTGTCAAGAGCCTGGCCATTCAGTATGAGGCTGGACGGGCCGTGACCTCTAGCTGTGTTTGGAGACATCTCATCCAAGACAGCTTGCAGGCGAGTGAAGAACGATCAACAGAATTACATTTGGTCCTGAAATCCAACTGTCAATGGAGAATCTTCCGTGCATCGGTGGGCCAACTTGGAAGGGCCACTTCCTTCTCTAACTTTCACAATTTTTACCCCTGCATTGCCCACAACAGGGTGAGTCAACTTGGAAGGACAACTTCCTTGTCGAATTTTTACCCTTGCATGGCCCACAAAAGAGTGAGTCAACTTGGAAGGGCCACTTCCTTCTCTAGATTTTACAACTGCATGGCCCGCAAAAGGGTGAGTCAACTTGGCATCATGGCCACTTCCTTCTCTAAAATTTACCCCTGCATTGCCCACCAAAGGGTGAGTCAAGTTGGAATGAATTTTCCTTTTTCTAAATTTTACCCCTGCGTTGCCCACACAAAGGGATGAGTCAAGTTGCAACGGCAATATCCTTCTTTAAAACTTATCCCTGCATTGCCGACGAAAGGGTGAGCCAAGTTGGCTTCCTTCTCTAAATTTTACACCTGTGTTGCCCGCAAAAAGGTTGTCAACTTGGAATGGCAACATCCTTCTCTAAACTTTACCCTCGGGTGGCTCACCAAAGGGTGGGCCAACTTGGAAGGGCCACTTCCTTCTCTACCTCCAACTTAATAGCAATGGCCTCCAACCTACTAGCGATGGAGGCCATCGCTACTAGGTGGGAGGCCATCGCTAGTAGGTTGGAGGCCATTGTTACTAGGTTGGAGGCCATTGCTACTCGGTTGGAGTTTTGTTACTAGCTTGGAGGCCATTGTTATTCGGTTGGAGGCCATCGCTGCTAGGTGGGAGGCCATCGCTAGTAGGTTCGCGGCCATTGCTATTGGGTTGGTAGTAGGTTGGAGGCCATTGCTATTAGGTTGGGGGCCATCGCTAGTAGGTTGGAGGCCATTGTTACTAGGTTGGAGGCCATTGTTATTAGGTTTGAGGCCATTGCTATTCGGTTGAAGGCCATTGTTACTACAGGTTGGAGGCCATGGTTATTCGGTTGGATGCCATCGCTACTACTTTGGAGGCCATCGCTAGTGGTTGGAGGCCATTGCTATTGGGTTGGAGGCCATGTCTAGTAGGTTGGAGGCCATTGCGATTTTATAGAGGCCACCGCGTAGGTTGACACGGTGATTTTTGTCCGGAGGGCCTTGCTATTAGGTGGGAGGCCGTTGTTTCTAGGTTGGAGGCCATTACTCTTAGGGCCTCCAGCCTCCGCCCCGTCATCGACCTGGACACCGGACACAGGCTCCAGGTAACCCGCAACCGAGCCAGCAACCGACCCGGCCTGGTCACCCGCCAGCAGCCACGGGCCCACCGGCCACTGGCCCGGCCACGGACCGCCACCGGCCGACCGGCCGCATGACTCCGGCCACCGGAACGGCCACCGGTCACCGGCCCGGTCACCGGTCACCGGCCGGGCCACCGGACTCCACACCCGGACACCGACCACCGGTCCGGCCACCGCCCACCGGCCCGGTCGTTGGCCATCGGCCGGACTCCGGCTACCGGACCGGCCGCCGGCCACGCGCAAACAAAGTATATACTCCCGTCTCTGTCTCCGTACATAAATCCTAAAGCTAAGAAACCTAGCTACAAAGTCAGAAAACGCAATCGCCAGATCTAATGCCATTTATGTCGAAATCTTTGACTGACATATGGCGCATCCCGCAGTTCTGTGATTCGGCGTTTGTCGTCCATGTATCCAGCAGGAACACACATCCAGCAGCTGGGTTCAAGCAACATGTCCATGTCACGGCAGGACTGCACAAAGCATGGTCAATCACTTCAGAAGACTTGTGCGTCAAGAGTTCAGGATCTTCCTTCATTGTGCTGATCCACTGTGAAGTCTGCTTTGACCAGGGTGTTTAGATTGCTGTCAAACCCTCAACTTGATAGATGAACACGCACACACACACACACACGCACACGCACATTTTCCGGGACCTTTGTTCGCTCCAAGTACGTGGTCACGCGTGGGTCCTTTGTTGCTGGTCGTCGTCTCGCCCCGAAAGCCGAAACATGTCGCGCTTTGAGAGCGACACGGAGAGCGAGTCCGCGGAGGGCGAGTCCGTGCAGGCGAGCTGCTTCAGTGGAGGGGCAGGTGGTGATGAGAGGAGAGCACACCAGGTGGAGGTTTGGTGGACTGCAGACTGCAGAGGGTCTGGTGACGGTCCGGTGGACTGCAGGTTTTTGTTGATTCTGATCTTTGGGATCCGCGGTGATTCTGATCTTTGTGGTCCCAACGGATCATGTTTTTAAAAATATTTTGTTGTGTTATGAAGAGACCTGGCTGAACCCAAGAGCACTTGGGGCATGAGGCTCCAGCGTGGCTTTTCAATCCAAAGCGAAATTTGAGAGCAAACTGGGGTGCTGCCGGCAAAAAGTATAAGGGAATAAGACACATGGCAATAAAATTCCACTTGAGGTCTCGGCAATGCTGCGCGACTTTGTTAGCAGCTTGGATGAAGACACCTGTCGGGCACTGCAGAAGGCGGGGGATGCCAGGGGCATCGCGTGCACATGATTGGCCCATTCAAATAGATTGCTTGTTGCCATCTCTCAATGTCTTGAGTTCTGCGGTGCGGTGTGACAGCTGCCTCACCCAAGTGTTCCCGTTGGGGTTTTCAGCTGCGCCAAGACTTCAGGACCCTGAGGCCCTTGAGGCCGAAAACTCTAGGCGCTGAGGCTCAAGAAACTCATGCACCGGCTGTATCAGGCCGTCCATGACCGGCTGGCTGGGGGCACACAGAATGCTTCGGCAACGGAATGGCTCGGCCCAGTGTCCAGGCGGAAATTAGGGTGAGTAGGGTGAGTGGGTCAAGCACTGTTCACTGTTGGGCTTGTGGCTTGGCTGTTCCATATGCTTTCACAAGACGCAGTTTTCCAAAGCACGGCCCCTTTGAGAACGGCGCGGCTGTTTGTGTTTGCATGGTGGCAATGGATGGCAATCGTGGCAACACGGAACCATATTTTGGAGGGAGTTGTCATGGATTTGGGTGGTTCTCCCTCCTTAAGACAAGACCATGTTTCTCCAGCTGCCATTCAGCAAAGCCAGGTGGTATTTGTGTAGTTCAAATCAATTGGGCAAACACCAACAAGTGTTTGATGGATCCATAAGAGTCAAAGTCAGTGCATGTGCATTGTACCTTCGCTTTCTTGGCTTTTGGTCGCCCTTTTTGGCACGAGGAGGCACTAATGAATAATACACACCCACTCAATCAGATCGATGCTTTCGACGTTATGATGTCTTCCACCAGCATCGATTTCTCACCCTCTGTGTCTCTCCAGACGCACCCAGGAGTTTAAGTCTTCTCGCCTGGAAGAGATCTTTCAGACTCTTGAGGCATGGGCGGTGCGCAAAAGCCCGGAAGAAACGGCTGAGGGCCGTGTGGACATGTGTGGACCTGTCTTGACGATTTCGATCTTGGAGGGCTCTTTAGGCCGTGTCGATTTTCAGTGCCATCGAGCGTCGCCAAAACGAGGAGGTGGAGCCCGTGGTGAAGGCATCGAACATGGCACATGCCATGCGGCTAGCTGGCTTGGACCCGACGGCTTCGGAGGCAGGGGAAACAGGGACATGAAAGAGCTGGCAGATCAAATATGTGGCAGTAGATCTATGATGTACCTGAGTCGGAAACGAAGATGCTGTGGATGGCTGCTGAAGAATCCTGTTTTCGGACAGTTGATGGCTGCTCTTCAGCCGCTGTGATTCGATGCTTCAGGTTTGCAAGGTCTTGGAGAACATCGGGAAGCTCGAGATCTTGAACCTCGACAGTTTCACTCAGGTCATGCAGGACAGTCATGCAGTTACAGCTGTAGACTCTTGATTCGATTTCAATCCCCCATTATTCGAAGGGTCGAAGGGGTATAGATTTCATCCATATTTGGGGCGATTTCATCCATCATGAGGTATAACTCCCTCTTCACTCCGTTAATACATCATTTTTGGAGTCGGTAGACCGAGTCCGCAAGCACTCACCGAGGGCGCCCTTGTCAGCCCGTCTTGGTCTTGGTCTCGTCCAGGAGGTCATCGAAGAACGGTACAAGAAGAATGAGGCATTTGGGTGGAAGCTGAACGGGCCAGTTCAGGTCAGAACAAGAGGCCTCTGCATGGTGGATTTTCCAGCTTTGGCCTTCCCAGGTCTATCCACAGAAAGGGCATTCTTTGTTTTTTGTTTTTTGTTTTTTAATTTTGCGTTGTAAGCATCTCGTTGTTTTTCACTCGGAGTTTTCTCGTGTTCTCACTTCCAAACGGCTTCTGGATCACCGTCATGCGCAGTCGTCTGGTCCGCTGTCCGCCTTCTGTGAAGGCTCGAAAGCTCTTGCGCAGCTGTCGGAGTGTCGATCCGGAAAAAAGCGGCCTCTTGGGACGCATCGAAGAGCGGCGGCGGCGGCATGAGCAGTCGTTCCTTTCTTGTGCCAAGGAGGTCTGAGGAGGTGTGGTTGAGCGTGAGAAGGTGAAGGGAACTAACCAGTGACTCTTGACAGCAAGACCCGTCGACCCGAGGCCTCCTTCCGCAGGAGACCCTCGTGCAGCTTATGCATGCCCAAGGTCCGTGCCGAAGCGGATGAAGCATGAAACACCAAGCTTTTCAGATGACGTCGTCCTGCTTGTTTGATCTTGTTTGCCTTGTTTATTGTTTTTTACTTCAATCACACTAACCCCTGTGTCCAAGGCATCACTTTTTCAGATGAGCTTCAGGAGCTGCTTCCATTGGCTCGTTGGTTTTGCAGGTTCTTCTCGGTCTAATGCAATACCCTGTGTGGTTGGAGACCTTGCGTGGTGCTCCTAGTTGTCCTTGTTTGGGAGAATGTGATCAATGGCACACACTCGCACAGTCTGGTCGCAAATGTGCAGGATATTCTCAATGATGTTCCTTCCAACAGCTGCTTGGACGAGGGGAAAGACTAGGACAACATTTTTACTGTAGCGGCGTGGGGTTGCTCCTTCGCTCCTTAGGTCAAGGCTTCAACTATGAGGTTCTCATCAGCCTGCTTTTCACCAAGGCGACCTGAGAGAGCACTCTCTTCTTGGTCTTCCGTTGGCTTTTGGGCTTTGGTGGCTTTTGTTGCTTTGCAACTTTTGGCTTGTTTTTTTGTTTTTTGTCACTATAATCTGTCTTCTTTGTGGCTCTGTTACTTTTGGCTTCTGTGTGCTTTGGCTAGCTTTCTATCGCAGGTTCTCCCTTTCTCTCATTTTTTAATGTTTGTCTTCAACGTTCCACTGGAAACGCTTGGCTGAGCTCATAGGCTGAGATCTCTACACCTTTTGGCGGTGTGTTGGTTCATGGTCCCTTGTTTTAGTCTTTGTGGATGTTGTTTGTAGACAAAGACATTGAGCCATCCATTTGTGGTTCCTGGAAGAATGCGTCGGGCCCAACGATTCGTTGTGTTTACGAAGTCCCAAGACGTGGAAGTTCTTTGTAGACGAAGACGGCGCGGACCGCGCAACATGCATAGGAAGGAACCCATGAGATGGACACATGCACACCTACATGAATGTCAAAACCTGATTGGGAGCACCCTAGCAACCCCCCAAAAAATTATCCAAGATTGCAGCCCGGAAGTGCGATGCCAAGAGTTGTCTTAAGATTACAAGCAGTGCACATTGTGTACATGTGGGCTCTGCACTGTCAGGTCGACGATGACATGTTTGAGAGCAAGCAGAATGAGCAGAATGTCGAAGCCGAGAAGTTAAAGGAGGCACAGATTCTGTTGATTTCTCTTTAACTTGGAATGATCGAGCGGCCACTTATTACGGATTCATGACGAAATGCCTTTCATGCTCCATGGCCAGCGGTCAATTGACAATTGAGGCCACCCTATCAGGATTCCCCACGTGGTCAGTGGCAAGTAGTGTTTAACTTATACTTTCTCGTCTCCCCGCTGTCCCCGCTTTGTCTAAGTAGGGAGCCTCAAAGCGTCGATAGAAGCTCCTTCGGTTCGTCTCACCTCTTTTCTTCGCCCCGCGGGCCAAGCGCCGCAAGAAGCTTGACCAGAAAACCATCCTTTTGGGGCCGCTCTCAAGCGGCCTCTCAAACTCAATCTCCCAGGGCGCCACATCCCTTGTGTTGCTGTGATTGCTCATCTCCTTTTCTTTCATGCTTCGGTTGTCTTTAGGTTGTTCGAGCTTTATCCACGCTACTCACATGTAAAAGCCATCAGACTCCCGTGGTCCTTTCCATGTGGTGACGGTCCTGAACGACGCTCCTCCGGTGCTTCGGTCGAAAAATCGCCAGGTGCGGCCAAGCAGGGACTCCCAGGGAAAACGGACGAACAGGAAGCGACTCAAGCGACTGTTTAGGTCCCAAACGGCTCGCTCCGTTGGATGAAGAGACTTGTGAATTGTGTTGAATCGTGCTGAATGGCATGAGGCCTGAATTTCGTGCTGAAGGAAGGTGCGGTGGTCCATCCTGAGGAAGGCAAAGTCTTGGTACGGGCCATGGCCACTGGTGTACTGGAGTGGTACAACCCAGACACCAAGACTTTACTGGGCTCGATGCCAGTCCACTCGCCTGGATCCCAGATGATGTTTTGCACCGTTTGGGACAAAACGGAAGAGTTCGTTTCAAGTGCAGTTAGTTCTAACATGTTGTAACTGTTACTTTTACTATTGTTATTATTATGACTATTCTGATTTTGTTCTTTTTTCTATCTACTTTTTAGTTTGCTGTTAGTTGTGCTTAAACTTATATGAAACGAATTGCCAGTTGATGCCCATCGGCAGCCTTAAGACTTCCTTCCGCTTCGCGTAGGTCAGATTGGGGAGAGTTCATCGACTCAGGCCTGAGTGGCGTGTTAGTTAGTTACAGAGTGTAAGACGGATGGCGAGTCTGTTGTGTTGATTCTCATTTGGAGACGACGTGGATGTTGAGACATTCCAGCAGACCTGAGGAGAAAAGGAGTGGCTGGATTTCCTGGATCGATGGCCGAACCTGATGGGTGCCAGTCCTAGATGAGGCACATGAGGCACTGAGGTTCGCCCATGAACGCCCAGGTTGCAGTGGACTGTGGTTATGTCAATGAAGCACTGTGTGGATTCTGTTTCTGAAGAAGCTTTTGGGTGCGTGAGGTGACCAACTGCAAGCGCTGGATGCGTTGAGGTCCTCAGCCACAGGACTGGCCGATCGACGATGCCTTTTGCTTTCTTTCTGTGTGCTTTTTCTTTATGCGGCTTCCAAATTCGGAGGCCTGCAAAAGTTGAGTAACCCGGCTCGAGACAGCGCCCTCTATGAATTGGTGCTGGCCTGAGGACAACCACAGAGTATCACAGAGTCGCTGGCTTGTAAAGACTCGTTATGGTCATCCAAGGTGAAGCTTTCCCTGTGTCCTCAAGAAGACTCGCCCTACCAGGCTGACAGCCAGTCAACATTTACGCTACGCATTTGTGAGATTTATGGTTAGAATTCTGGTAAGACTGCGTGCAGGTCATAGCCAAAGCAACACAAGCCTTTTTGTTATGTGGCCTGACACCGAGAGGTGCTCCGTTTCTTGGCGATTGAGCACTATTGCTTACTGATACTTCTTGATTAAGGCCATTGCGACATGTTGCCGGAGGCGGCTCCGGCCACTTGGCAGCGGTGCGCGAAACGACGAGGAGCTTTGCGACCTCAGCAGCAGCTCAGGTGGTTCCAGACTATGACCTTACAGATCCGATGGATTTGGCGAACTTCTTCTCGTTTGCAAACATCCGGCTGCTGCGTGGCGCTTTCATCAAGCACTTGGCGAAAGAGAAGCTGGGGTTGCCCAGGCGACAGGAGGCAGAGCAAGCAAGTTGCGGATCCCAGACGGCTTTGGCCGCTTGCTGCATAGAGCTGGGCTGGTTCTGCAGATTGGTAGGCAGAAAGCTATGTCGTGTGGTTTAAACATGAGACCAAATGCAACACACACAAAACAAGCTGTGTACAGCTACAATCAGAGAAAGTATTGCCGTCACAGCACCGCAAGGGAAAGTCATAGCACCGGTGGGACGAGTACCGTCGCCTGTGAGATACAATCGGCAGCCGAGGTGACTCACGAGGAGGTCAAAGGATGGGCGGCAGATCTCAAAGCAGGAAAAGAGCGCCAAAGGATCTTCGCCATTTCCCATGTGTGGCCCAGACCAGACTGACGCGGTGTTCTTGCTTAGTTTCGATTCCTTTTTGTGGGCTCACCGAGAACTGTTTTGCCCATTCGGCCGGAGGATTGGCTCTTCTACGACTACTGCTGCCTATACCAGTTCCTCAGAACCAACAGCGAAGAGGAGTCCAGTTTCTGCTCAGCACTGCAAAACATGCACGTGATCTACTCTCACGAGAGAACTATGACCCTTTGCATCGATCTCACTCCTCACGACCCAAGCTCGCACCCTTCTTCACCAGACTTTCGCTGCAGCATCTACCATTTTCCCTCCAACGCTTGCGTCGAAGTGGCCCCAAGCAGCTTGTTGCCCAACGACACGCCCTACGACTCCCGCGGCTGGTGCGTGGCTGAACTGCAGGCCTCGCAGAGTCGACATGGTGTGCCCGGCCGACCCCCGACGCAGCGCCTCGTCGGCCGGTATCCGGACGTCTACGTGGAAGACATGGAGGCCCAAGTGCCGATGCCCCCAGAGGTGTTTCGAGCCCGGGCGGAGCAAGGGCAACTGCGGTTCAGCGATCCGGGAGATTTGGAGGTAGCACTAAGGCTTCAAAGCGAGGCCTTTCGCAAGACCAGCGGCAGATTCGAGTCATTGAGTCTAAGCGAGTTGGAAGCTGCTTCTCGACCTATGCGATGTGGTGCGTTTAGTTTGACTTCTTGTGTTTTCTTTGGACGTACCGCCACATATCCACACCCTTGGGTAGGCTTCTTGTTTTGATGAGTTGGTCAATAAGGATGAGATTGATGTGCTGGTCAAGGCCTTGCCATTTTTATCGAACCTGCAGAAGTTGGAGATCAAGAAGAGCAAACCTCTGGCTGGCAAGATGGAAGACTTGGCCAAGGCTTTCTGGGCTTGGAGTGTCCAAGGGCTTTAGGAGGCTCTAGGAAAGCTCTTCAAAGCATGGGCTTGGGGTGGAGTGTCCAGGTCACAGGCTTGTCAACCGTCTTGTTGCGCTCGGAGTTGCATCCGTCGGCGCACCGGCGCACAGGTGCTCCATGGCAAGAGGACGCTCACAAGTTTGAGCCTCCCTGAGAATGAGCTTGGTGTAGCTGAAGTTCTTTTGGTGATACAGGTTTCGGATGTGTCCGGTTAATTGCTTGTAACTTGTCATCAGCAACCTGAAGCGATGTTTGGGGCTGCTTTGGCATTTCAGGATTTTGTCTTCGAATGTTTGCTTGTGAAGGTGCTCGGGGACCTTGGTTCGCTGACCAACTTGAGCCTAGCGCAGAACAACCTCGACAATCATGCTTGGGTTTCGGCACTGTGTCAGGTCCCTTGTCAATCGGTCGATCTTTGTGCACTGTTGTGCCGGGCGGAATTCTGTGTGTTCCAATTTGTGTGTGTGTGTGTCTTTCTTGGCCTTCTTGGTTTGGCTCTGGTGCAGGTCCTCGAAATGACTGGAACGACTGGCCGGAGGCTCACATGGATTAATTTGCAGAAGACCCAGATGGGGGAGAAGGGTGCTGTGGCACTCGCCCAGGTGCGGCACTTGGTCATGTTTGGAGCTTGAAATTGTACACAGCCGCCGTGCGTCAGAAAAGCTTCTTTTAACACTCTTTAGTCTTCAGGCGAGGTTGATGTTGAAAGCTAAACTGGAGGAAGATGGGCCCATTCTGCAGGCTCTACATGCTGCTGAAGCGAAGACGGCAAAGACGCAGGTGGACCTCGAAGGCAATGATTTGGGTGCAGGTGCATTGCATCTGGCCATGGCGGTCAAGGCCCACGAGGCCGTTCACGTCCCACGGCTTTCGGCCACGGATTCACTCGATATGTTTGTTTCTGAATGCTTTTGTCGTCCGAGCTTTGCAGGGCATTGCTGTAGAGCATCGCATGGTGAAGTTTCTTTGCTTGGGGCTCAAGGCCAGTTTCTGAGTTGCGTTTGTTGGTTTCTCAAGCAGCGTTTGTTGGGCCCCTGATGAAATCACAGGTTTGCTAAGATTGTAGATCCTGTAGCGATATAGATCTTGGTTTGTGCTGCTGATTTCTTTGCCGTCCTTCTGTTCTCGGTGATTGGAATTCTTCTTGGATTTAAAGCGGCCAGAAAGTCATGCAAACTGCAAGCAAATTGATGAATGAAGGCTGAAGGCGTGCTGCTGAGCCCATTGATAGGGCGGCGGGACATTAGTCAAGGCCTTAAAAGACAGTGATTGATATCTCTGCAGCCGAATGAATTCACTCTGATGCACTTGATGCCCATGATCCGCGCCCTGAAAGCACGGTTCGCACCTCGCAACGGCCGCAAGATTGCCTCAGGTCACTTGGAATTTGACTTCGACGAGTCCGCCATACCTGACCTCGGTGATGACGGTGATGACCGTCTAGAAGCTCTTTTTTCCGAGCACCTGCTGGAATTGACCACGTTCACATTGAGACTGACATGCAAGACTCTTGGCAGCGGTGCTGAGACCCTTGCAAAGGGTCTGGCAAGTCTGGTCAAGCTCAGAAACTTGCAAGTTCATTTAGGCAGCTGCAGCGTTGGTGATGACGGTGCTGTAGCTCTGGCAAAATCCTTGGGTGAGCTGACTCAGCTCACCAGTCTGGAGTTCAGTTTGGAACACAACTGTGTTGGGGATAAAGGTGCAGTGACTCTTGCGACGTCATTGGAAAGGCTTTTGGAGCTCACCAGTTTGCAACTGAATCTGGCAGCAAACAGTGTGGGTGACGAAGGTGCCAAAGCTCTTGCAAGATCCTTCCGCAATCTTAAAAAACTTACCGAATTGCAAGTCAGTTTGAAAAGCAACAGTGTTGGTGACGAGGGTTCTGCAGCTCTGGGAGATGCCTTGGGCAATCTCACGCAGGTCACCAATTTGCAAGTAAATCTGGAACGTAACAAAGTTTTTGATGAGGGCGCTATGGAACTTGCGAAGTGCTTCAGCAATCTAGTGCACCTTATCAAGTTGCAAGTGATTTTGGGACACAACAGACTTTGTGCTGCGGGTGCCAAAGCTCTTTCAGCATCCTTCAGCAATCTTGTGCAGCTGACCTGTTTGCAAGTCTCTTTCAAAAGCAACAGTGTTGGTACTGAAGGTGACACAATAGCTCTTGCAAAATCCTTCGCAAGGCTTTCACAGCTGACAAACTTGCGGGTGGACTGGGCAGAGAACAGTCTTGGTGATAGAGGCACAGGAGCTCTTGCTGAGTCTTTAGGTAGCCTTGGGCAGCTCACTAGCTTGGAAGTCAATTTTGCACACAACAATGTTTCTGATGAAGGGGCCCAAACTCTTGCTGAATGTCTTGGCAATCTTGCGCGGCTGACGAATTTGCAAGTGATTCTGGAAGACAACGTTGTTGGAGGTGAAGGCGCTGTAGCTCTGGCAGGATCCTTGGGCAAGCTGACTCAGCTCGCCAAGTTGAAGTTCAGTTTGGAACACAACTGTGTTGGTGATAAAGGTGCAGTGGCTCTTGCGACGTCATTCGAAAGCCTTCTGGAGCTCACCAGTTTGCAACTGAATCTGGCAGCAAACAGTGTGGGTGACGAAGGTGCCAAAGCTCTTGCAAGATCCTTCCGCAATCTTAAAACACTTACCGAATTGCAAGTCAGTTTGAAAAGCAACAGTGTTGGTGACGAGGGTTCTGCAGCTCTGGGAGATGCCTTGGGCAACCTCACTCAGGTCACCAATTTGCAAGTGAATCTGGAACACAACGGTGTTCTTGATGCTACAGAACTTGCAAGGTGCTTTGGCAAGCTTGTGCAGCTGACACATTTGCAAGTGAATTTGGGAGACAACAGACTTGGTGCTGACAGTGCCAAAGCTCTTGCAGCATCCTTAAGCAAGCTTGAACAGCTGACTTGCTTGCATGTTGATCTGCTCGGCAACAGTGTTGGAGACCAAGGTGGCATAGCTCTTGCAGAATCCCTGCACACACTTGTTAAGCTGACGAGTTTGCAACTTGATTTGCAGGGCAACCTCATTGGACATAAGGTGGCCGAAGGTGGTTTGCAGGGCAGCATCGTTGGCCACGAGGTGGCCGAAATTCTGGCCACATCTTTGGAAAGACTTGTGCAGCTCAACGATTTGGAATTGAATTTAGCGGGCAATATGCTTGGAGCTGAGGGTGCCGTAGATGTTGCAAGATCCTTGGGCGTTCTGAAAGGGCTGACGAGTCTGAAAGTGAATTTGGGAGACAACGGAGTTGGTACTGGAGGTGATGTAGATGTAGCTGCAGCTTTGGCAGAGTCTTTGAACAACCTGATGCAGCTTGCCACATTGCAAGTGAGTTTGGAACGCAGCAGTGTTGATGATGCTGCTGAGGCTCTTGCCACATCCATTGGCAATCTCAAGCAAGTCACCAATCTGCAAGTCCGTTTCAAAAGCAACAGTATTGACTCTACAGATGCAAGGTATCTTGCAGAAGCCTTTGAAAGCCTTGCACAGCTGACAGAATTGTGGGTGGACTGGGCAGACAACAGCATTGGTGATGAAGGCGCAAAAGGACTCGCAACATCTTTGGGCAGTCTCAAGCAGCTGACTAGATTACAGGTCAATTTGACTCGCAACAATGTTGGTGACACAGGCATCAATCCTCTTGCTGAATCTCTTGGCAATCTTGTGCAGCTGACGAATTTGCAGCTGATTTTGGAAGATAACGTTGTTGGTGGCAATGGGGTTGTAGCTCTGGCAGAATCCTTGGGCAAACTTGTCCGGGTCTCCAGTTTGCAAGTGAATCTGGAACGCAACAGTGTTGGTCAAGCTGGTGCTGTAGCCCTTGCGAACGGCTTCAGCACTCTTGTGCGGCTCGCGAATTTAGAACTGAATCTGCAGGCTAGTGGTGTTAACGATGGAGCTGTTGATGTGTTGGGAGAGGCTTTGGAGAAGCTCACCAAGCTCACCAACCTGGAAGTTGATTTGCGGAGCAACCCACACGTAGATCTTGAATGTGTGAAGACCTTCAGGGCCAGGCTTTCCCTTGTGCCGATGCTCTTGACTTATCACGATGATGACGACGATGATGTTAAGAATCTTAGCTCGCTGGACAATGCAATTTGACTTGGTCGTCGATGACGAAAAGGCGGAGTGGCTGGCGACACGGTGTTTGCCTAGAGTCCTAGAGCCCCAGTTGAGAAGAAAATCACCAGAAACGATCATGCCCAGCTTCTCCACAGCCGCAGGCAGTCTGTTTAAGAAGCACCACCTCCATGCCGTGCCATTGGGGTCCACGCACGTGATGCGATGGGGTTCGTGCGTCGCAGAACTATGCGACACATGCCTCTGTCCAGGTGTTTGTTTAGAGCGACACACTCATGAATTTCAAGTTCCACAATTTGAACATGACTCAAGGCCTCTTTCTTTTTGAACAAACCGCAAACCCTCCATTCTCCATGTTTTTAAACGAAAACTGCAAGAGCAGGACTCGTGGACGCAAGCTCGGCTCAAAGTGTAGCCATTTCAGTGCAGCAGGCGAGTCGTGTGTATTCACTAAACAGCCATGGTGCGCTTGATTCTGGCCCTTGTGCTTTGCACTTCCGTGCTGGCACAGAAAAGGCCTCCAAGAAGAGAAGCACAAAAGGAGTTCGCTGAGTGCCTCCTGACAGGCGGAGTTCGGTTCTGGGGCGGAACGATTTCAGATGCCCAAACGACCCTTCTGTATTTGGATGTTTGCTTGGATGTTTGAACCGGAACTGAATGCATGGATGCCAAACCTCGAGTTGCTTTTCAGTGAACCGGCCAAGAACAACGGGCCAACAAAAGGCGCGCCCGCCGCGCGTGGGTGACCAGGCTCCACGAACGAGGAGTGCCGCTCCCTCCTCGAGGGCAACCGGACGCGCGACGAGGTCCGTGAACGTCTCGAGAAGGAGAAAGGACCGAAGGGGGAACAGCGGAGGGGCATCAGGGGCGGGAGGGATTAGGTGGCAGCTGGCGTCGAAAATGGTGTCACAAAGGCTGTCCCTCCAGTGAATTTCAAGGATATCAGGGACAGATACGATTTCAGGGTGGATGGGTGTGATATGGTGTGATGGTGTTTTGGGGGCTTTCAACTGTTTTTTTCTTATATATCACATCTTCGAACACCCTGAGACCCGCCAGACGGAAGAAAAGACGCACGAAGGACAGGTCGGACGGTTTCAAAGATTGCTTGGCGCTTCCAAAAGCCTGATGTTTGAAACTTCCATGACATCATTCATGACCACGTCATTCATGACCACCCTTTCTCTTCAGGCTTCTTCCATCCGAGCCGCTTCCGAGGTCCCGCCCATCAACCGACGGCCGAACGGTCCCCGGCTCCGGCTCCCGGCTCCCGGCTCCCGGCTCCGAACCGAACCGTGGCTGCGCGGTGGGTCAGGAGTGCCTTTGGTGCTGGGAGAGCTGCTCAAGAATTGCACGATGGAAATGAATACCACCGGATCCAACAAGACCTTCCAGGACGAGTCGAGCTGAACTGGATCCAAGCTCTGGGTCAGTCGCTTCTTCAGCGAGACCTGTTTCGTTGACTTTCCAGCAATTCCATTGTCCTCGGTCTTCCCCGAACGCCTCTGGTCCCTACTCCGATCCCCCGGCCCTTCGGATCGGCCCCACTCGGCCAGGATTGCCGGAAGGAGGTGATGGACGCCTTGAAGCTCCTCCGCGGCAAGGCCGTTCCGCCACGCGAAGCCCACGCGGTTTTGACGCGACGCGTGGAGCAAATCGCAGACGACATCCCACATCATCTCCAGGTGAATTGGCAACCCACTGGGTGTGGTGTTTCCAAGATTTGCAACCTTTCTCTTTTGATTCTGGTTTGTTTTCGTTATTCTTTTGCCACTTCAGAAGATTCCACATTCGTATTCAAGGATACACCCGGCCCCTCTTTCCAAGCATGCCCTGTCAAAGATTCATCTGGACTCTGGAATGCAAAACATTGTTTTGTTTTCTTAGGTGTTGACCTTTTACAGAAAAGCAGCTGACACAACACACATAGAAACATCCAAACAACATGGAATCACGATCAGTGCGTTTTATTAGCCGAAGATGACCTACATGAACTAATTCCAGTGAAGATATAGTTTATATAAACACAATTTGTATCTCTTAAGTAGCTATCTCTAGTACAGTGTACATTCCCAACCACATCTCAGAAGCCTCCGCTTCCTTCGTCACTCTCCGCCGTCCCCACGGGTCACCGGTCCTTCGCCGGGGGCCCGCCCTGATCGCGTCGCGTCGCGGTCGCAGGACGTGACGCCCGAGGAGTTCGAGGCGGAGCTGCGGAAGGTCGCCGCCGAGCGCGTCCGCGAGCTGATCGAGGCGTGTCTCGAGAGCGCCTCCACGGACGCCGCCAAGGAGGCCGGGAACGAGTGGCACTGTGGTGGGTGAGGAGCGCTGCGCGCTGTGTGGTGTGGCACTGTGTGGTGTGGTAAGAGTTGACCAGATTCACCAGGTGTGCCCGAAAAAGAGTGCAAGGATGCAATGGTTCTCTGCCGACATTGGCTGGCGACATGTGGACATGACACAGCCCAGCCTCGCCCTTTCATGAGGCGAAATCGCTTGCTGAGTTGTTTTTCGTCGTGTTTCACAGGCTTGCTTCAACAGTGATGAAGCCAAGAGGGAAGCTGCCTTGCTCACTGGAAAAGATCCCTCAGAGTTCAAGGTGGGCGAAGACTCGTTTCGACAGTCCATTCCTTTTTGTTCTTCATATCAACGATAGATTGTGTTTCATTTTTCTTCTTTGCATTCTTTTCAGTGTCAGTGGCTTCTTTGGAATCTTATATACTTTTTACTAAGTCTTGCTATTTTGCAGTTCATGGTTTGATGCGGGCGTTTATAGTAGTTTGCCAGAGTCACCACCTTCGCATGAACCGGAACATAGCCCTGCAGAGCATTTCGGAATCTCTGGGTTCGTCACCTGAAGCTTTGAATGGCTCGGACCGCAGAGGGTGTGAGTGGACCGCTTCTTCAAAGCCGTGAAGACCAGGGTGCGGGGGTTCACCCGGAGATTGGTCATTGTGAGGCAAGACCAAAGCAACGGCTCTACTGCTTCAACCGTGAAGGGACGCAATCTCTACTCTAGCATTTTTCAAGATTTCAACTCAAAAACAAACAGCCTGGCGGTGAGAGCTTCCGAAGTCGCCCACCTGGGCATCCAGTCGCCAGGTGGATGACTTGCGCGAAGCCGTGCGAGAAGGTGCCGCGCGGGACATTGCCGATGCGGTCGAGGAGTGTCGCGCGAAGGCCGCCAATGAGGACGCCAAGAAGGACCGGAAAGCGAACGGATTTCCAAAGACTGACGAATGTGAATGGGAGATAACAGACATGACGAATGTGAATGTTTTGAAAGAACTGTGTCTTTGGAGAGTGATCAATGAAGAGGTGTCTGCTTCAAGACATAGATTTGGTGAATTCCTTTATTCTGCCAGCAACCGGTTCAAAAGCAAAATGTAAGAGCTCAGAACTTAGAGCTGGCAGGAGCTGTAAACAATTCATACCTGCATACCTGCTTGGGTGTTTTTACATTTCCAGCCAAACCCTTGAAGCCCTCCTGAAGAAGAGGAGTGCATGAAATCAGACGACTTCAAGAAGCAAATTGGCAACAGCCGAGGCCGGCGGCGTGGGGAGACCGCGCGGATTCATCCGCGTTCGTCGCCTGAACACGCCCGAACGTGGATGCAACAAGGACCCAAGGTGGGTCCTTTTCCACTCAGTGCGACAACAAGGGGCGCATCTTTTTGCGAGTTTATTCGCTCAGGTGATGCAAAGGTGCTTTTGTTCTTTTGTGGATGTGGCTGAGTGCAGGAACTTTGATGTCATCCAATTTCCAGTGGTCTGTGTGGTACACAAATGTTCTTTTTTGCTTAAAGTGCTAAAAAATGGATGGATGCCTACGCCAAGGCATGGCAAGCTGGAGCTGTCCATTGCATTGATTTGTTCTCCTCGTCCTGGACTCCTACCTGAAGTCATTTTATCAGCATGATTGCCACCTCAGTCTCCACATTCATCGATATACACATATATTTTCTCTATTTTTGTGCTGGACTGGACCTGGTATTATAGCTAGCATTAAGACCAACAAAGAGTGACACACATTCTGTGGATTATTTGCAGATTGAGTTGGCCGATGCGCTTTTTTTCCTCGACCTGGTCATTCCTTCTTTCCACTCGGCCACCACCGGGCCACCGACGAAGACACCTGCCGTCAGACGACTTCATCCGGGACCGACGGCTTTGCCGACAGGCAAAGGCAGCGGCGATGTGAAGGACTCTGAGGTTCGCCTCTTGGCGTGAAGTCGGTCCACGTGGTCTGACGTCGGTCCACGGTGCGGACGGCAAAGGCTTAGCTGCCGTGCTTGACGTGGGTTGAACGTGGGGACCGAGGTGTGCGGGGCGTTCCTTTTTTCCGGACGTGGCCGGACTGTGGGAGCGCGTGGCCCTCTGGAAAAGGTGCTTACAATGGAGTTTCAGCAGACGAACAACCCACCTTGCGAAGCCGCTGGTGATGCGGTCAGAGGAAGAAAGATGCCGGAGCATCCGCTGGTGATGCGTACTTCCCTTGACCTCGGATTCTTGGGGGTTAGAGGCTCAATTCGCCGACTGATTGGATCATGAAAGTCCTCACAGATGTTTTATGTGGCTTTTGCGAGTTAGAAGAGGGAGACCTGATACAAAACAGTTTGTTTGTGTTTGAAGATTTGGGTCACAGTTCCGTGAGGACTGCTAGCCTGATGGAAAGGACCGCTAGTCCATGTTAACGCAAAAACAAACACGGGGGGAAGGGGGATCAGATCAGATCGTCTTGAAAGAACACGACGCCAAACAACATGCAAACAGAAAGGTTCTTCTTTTCCTTTTCTCCTTTGGTTTGTTCTCGCCGCTACCCATGAAGTCAGACTTGGCAGGATCAATCTGTATACATGTTCAAGAAGCATCTCCTGAGCTTGCCCGGAGTGGAGCAGTGAATAGAAGCTACCACTGGGTATCACCGTTTTCGTATCTGACACTCAGCATGCGAAGCATGGGCTTTTTGTCCCCACCTGGAGCCCTGCTGTTCTATGAAACCTGTGACCAGCGGGGGGGACCATTAAGGGAGCTCTCAGCATCGGTGGCACCGAAGGGGTGGCCACAGGTGGCCACCCTTCGTTCGAAAGGAACAGCAAGATCAGAGGTGGTTGCTCGGGTTGGGCACATGGGTTGAGCTTGACACTCCTGATCATTCTTGAAGGCATTTTGAAGCTCTTTTTGATGTTATTCGTTCCTTGGACTGTTGCTAGTGACTGCTAGTCGAGTGGTCATCCGACCAAGCGGAAGGTTACTCAAGGCACTGCGCATCGACAGAAGACCGTCTCTGCTTTTCCCCACTTCCTCTTGGTTAAGAGCCAGGGGTCATATTCTC